CATTGCACTCCAGCCTGGGTAACATGAGTGAAACTCCGTCTCAAAAAAAAAAAAAAAAAAAAAAAACCAATTGGTCACATAAGTTTAGAATATTATATTTCTGGACTCTTTTATCTGTTTCAATTATTTATTTGTCTATAATTAGGCCAACACCATATTGCCTTGATTACTATAGCTTTATAAGAAATCTTAGAATAAAGTAGTCTTTTTCCACAACTTTGTTCTCTTGGCTACAAGAAAGTTGTTTTGGCTACTCTAGATCTGTTTTATTTCCCCCATAAAACATTTAGAATAGGCTTGTCAATTTCTGTGACAACAGCAACAACAATAAAAATGCTTCCTGAGATTTTAATAGCATTGCAATCAATCTGTCCATCACCTTGAGGAGAATTGACATCTTAATAATATCAAGGCTTCTAATCCACAAACATGATTTATCTATTTATTTATGTCTTCTTTTAAACTTTTCAATGTACAGGACTTGTGTACCTTTTGTTAAATTTATCTCTATTTATTTTATGTGCTGTGATGGTATTGTAAATCACATTTTTGTTTCAATTTGTCTTTGTTGCTATAAAATAGATGTACATTTGTTTTTGTATCTCTCTTTTATTACCTTATATCCTGAAATTTTCCTGAGCTTACTTAATAGGTATATTAGCTCTTTTGTAGATTCCATCAGGTGTTCTGCATAAATTGTCATGTTGTTTGCAAAGACAACTTTTCTTCTACTTTCTGCAGCTGAATGACTTTTATTTCTATTTTTTCTTGTGTCATTAACTAAACCTCCAGTACAATGTTGATCAGAAGGTATGAGAGTGGATATTCTTGCTTTATTCCTGATTTTAGGGAAAAAACATTCAGTCTTTCAAAGTTAGATATTTATATTTTTATAGCTAGTCTTTATTAGGTTGAGGAAGTACCTTCTATTTCTAGGTTTTGAGAGTATTAATCAAGAATGAATATTAAGTTTTGCTATGTTTTTGCCTCTGATCTAGTTAGATTATTTGCTTAGATGTTAAAATGGTGAACCTCATTGATTAATTTTAAAATATTACAACAACCTTGCATTTTCATGTATCAACCTTACTTACTCATGATGCATTCTACCTTTCATATATTGTTATATTTTATTTTCTAAAATTTATTAAGATTTTTTTGCATCTATGACGATGAGGGCTATTTATCTAAAATTTTTTGTTAAGTCTTTGTCTTCTTCGGTATCATAATACTGGCATCATAAAATGAATTTGAATCTATTGTTTTTGTTGAATTATCAGTGATGAGAAGGCCCTGAGATGCTAGGAAACAATGAACACCAAAGGAATTCTTATTTAATTAAAAAAATACCACTTGCTCTAATTGAATGATGTTTTAATTTTAGTATGCATGGGAAATACTGAAAATTATACTTAAATAAAGATCCTGGCCTGGTTTGTGGCTCACTCCTATAATCCCAACACTTTGAGAGGCCGAGGTGGGCAGATCACCTGAAGTCAGGAGTTCAAGACCAGTCTGGTGAACATAGTGAAACCACATCTCTACTAAAAATACAAAAATTAGCCTGGCGTGACAGTATGCACACACCTGTAGTCCTAGGTACTTGAAAGGCTGAGGCAGGAGGATCGCTTGAATCTGGGAGGCAGAGGTTGTAGTAAGTGAGATCATGCCACAGCACTCCAGACTGGGCAACGGAGTGAGACTCTGCCCCCCAAAAAGAAAAAAAAATCCTGATTTAGAAAGTCCAAGAAGAATACCAGAATTGGCATTAACAAATAAAAAGAAATATCTCCCTGGGTGATTTTTATATAAATGATTCATATTCTGAGAACTCTTAGTCTGCTCAATAGTTCTGAATGTATGTTTCCCAGACCAGTAGCATCAGAATCACCTGGGAACTTTTAAGAAATGCAGCTATTCTGTATCCACTCCAAATCTACTAAATCAGTAACTCTGGGTGAAAAAGTAGTTGCAGACTGTTTTTAGTAGGCTCCAAGGTGACTCCAGTGCATTACAATTTGAGAATTATTGTTCTATGTTAATGAGAGAGAGAAAGAATGGATATAGTTGCAGTTAACTTGGTGTCGTGTTAGGTATGTATGTGTTAGAAAGTGGGAAATTTCTTCTAAACTGGCTTTTCCTTCCTTATTACATGTATGGAAGGTCTGAGAGTGAGAGAGGGGAAGATGTGTCAGAGGTGTGAGTAGTGTGGAGACAATATGGATGATCATTAGGAAAACGGGAAGTCAGGCTGATGAGATTGTTAGTGACTATGAGATGACTCCTTAAGCTCTGTGGTTGCTGTTGTTTATCGGTGTCCATTTGCCCATTGGTACAGTTTTCTTCCCCAATTCTGAGCTGCCCATGGTAGAGGTATGGAGAAGGCAGTTTCTTGGATTTGTGTGTATTTTTTTTTTGACAAATAGGTAGAAGGGAAGACAAAAAGGATAAAGTAAATGAGAGTATTTGCAAGAGCATTTGCAAGTCATTACTAAATGACTGTAGTCCTGGGCCATGGTCATTGTCCTATATAAATAGAAAGATAAAGGCAAGAGGAAGATAATTAACAAAGAAACTGCTGGGTCCTGTGGATACAAAGTCTTGATGAAATGGAGGAGTTGTTTAGGTAGATACACTTTAGGAAAGAAAGAAGGAGTATAAACGCTAGTGTTTAAAGGGTGAAATGTTTGTTTTTTAATTATTGTCATTTTTGTGATGACAAGCTACAAGAAATGACCTTGGTAACAGAGGCTGAGTTCTACTGTGCCAAATCATTGGTATTGAGAAGGGCAGAGACTGGGTGAATAAAATACTTACATGCATATTGATTTTTTCTTCATGACTGATGTCAATCATAGTGATAGTAGGATGAATGGAAGACTGACAGCCAAGGACTAAATCAAAATCAGAAAACACGGGGGCATCTGCACCACAGAAGCTAAATTGGAAGGCATCACTGGAACAGGAAAGCTCAGAAGCACATAAGTTTGTTTCGCTGATTAATTTGGGCCCTCCCACAATTTCACAAGCTTATGTCCCCAGTAAATCCTAGAGTCACAGAATATATTTGATAATAAAATTTGTAATTGCAGCATCTGAGTAGAGTTCTGATGTAGGGATGCAGATACAAAAAATAGCAACCAGTTATCCTATAGAACTATGCAAAGAAATTGAATCATAATAATTTCCTCATTTTTTCCCTATTATGACAGATAAAAAAAGTTGGCTCTGAAAGATTCCTACCAGCTCAGAAGTGCATGGATGAAGATTGTTGTTGATGTGCCCTGCTAGCATGCATTCTAATTTTGTTTTTCAAATTCACAGAAAGTGAAGAAGTTTATCAAAGGCAGGTGCTGTCCATTTCATGTATCGTCTTTGGAATTGTCATCGTGGGCATGTTCTGTGCAGCATTCTACTTCAAAAGCAAGTAAGACCATTTCTCTCAAGTGTTTAAAGGTTACTTTTAGAAAAAGCACTTTGTGTAACTTTAAGTTCTCAGTCTGTGCAAATGGGTCTAGCATCAATCTGCTAGACCTGTGCAAATTTAACCTGTGCAAATGGGTCTAGCAACAATCTGCAAATGACTTAGGACCTTTTTGTAAAGTGTGGTGAGTGTGTACAAGCATGTGCATGCATGTATGTGATGTGTGTGCATACATGTGTGCACAGTTTATCTTTGGTGCACATAATGATCACTCCTCTCAGTGATCATGAACATTCTATGTTCTTTGCACTGATTAACCACTTGCCAGTATTAAAGGCTTGGTGTCTGCCTGTCACTAAGGACTAACTCTTCTGAACAGAGGGGCCACTGCTATGAACCTACACATTATCAACCATGATATATTAATTTATGAAAAACAAATTCAGTTTTTCATAAAGACTTTAGGCAAATATGTAACATGAGTACCTAAAAATATACTTTAGTTTCTCAGTTGGTATGCATATGTTGAATGTGCCCTAAGATTCTCTGCCAAGAAACTAGATCTTCTTTACATGAAGGTGTTTATGTTTGACTAGAAAGTAGGTAGGGCTGGGCGTGTTGGCTCAACCTGTAATCCTAGCAGGTTGGGAGGCCAAGGCAGGTGGATCACCTGGGGTCAGGAGTTCGAGACCAGGCTGACCGATATGGTGAAACCCCATCTCCACTAAAAATACAAAAATAAGTCAGGTGTGGTGATGTGCAACTGTAATCCCAGCTACTTGGGAGGCTGAGACAGGAAAATTGCTTGAACCTGGGAGGTGGAATTTGTAGTGAGCCGAGATCACGCCATTGCACTCCAGCCTGGGGGACAGAGTAAGACTCCATCTCAAGAAAAAAAAAAAAAAGGAAAGAAAGTAGATATAAACAGATACATGTATATGCCTGTGTGTGTGTTTCCAAATGAACTCTGGTAGAGGTATTTTATTTCTTAAAATGATATCATCTGCATTTAAAATAAGAAATGTGGTTGAAAACATTAGCGCCTTGGTTTCTCGTGCCTCAAGAATTTGACACAGGTTTTGTTCCGACAACCTGTCTGAAATTCAAGCCAATGTGTAATCGCTTTTCAGTGGACCTATAATTTTTTACCCATTCGCTTTTCTAATATGGGATTAAGTTCCATGTATTGTTTGTGATACCTGTCTGCGTGTTATCTGTGTTGACTATCAAAGAAAACTGTGATTCTGATTTTTTAAAATAACAGAAACTCGAGCATCAATTCAGAATTAGTAACTATTACTTTTCTAATAACTATTTCAAAATGTTTTTATATATTTAGAACTGTTGCAAAAATAGTACAGTTTCCGTATACCTTAGACTAAAGTTCCTCTATTATTAATGCCTTACATTAGCATGGTATATTTGTCACAATTAATGGGACAATATTGATATGGTTTTACTAACTAAATACTGTATTTTCAGATGTCCTTAGCATTTGACCTAATGCCTTTTTATTAATGCCAGGGCCCCATCCTTACCATATGATTTAGCTGTTACATCTCCTAGGCAACTCTTGGCTGTGACAGTTGTTAACTATCGATTTCTGAGCACTGGCTCTTTGTTAGGTACACTGGGCTTTTTATGTATTAGCTCCCAATCCCTATAGCAGTCAAAGTTGTGCATTATTACTACATTTTTCAAAAAACACCTGAATTTATTTTAAGATATTTGTTTTTCAAAGTCATAAAGAAAAAAATTGCAGATAGGCTCTTTGAATGCTCTAAACTTCTATACCATATTGGTTCACGTAGTCCTTCTGCTAGATGGTAGAGCTGCTCAGAGTGAGTTACGCATTACCCACTTTTGTGCAGCCCATAGCACTGTGTTCTCTAAAGATGCCATCTGGCATAAGGGCCAGGGCTGTACACTGGTGAAACATGTTTGGATTCAAATCTTCACACTGTTACTTATTTGTTATTTGATTAGGCAAATTATATCATGTCTCTTAGCCTTGGTTCTCTTTGTGATAAAATATGAGCAAATATAATATCTACCTTACATAATTTTGTTAAGGATTAAATGCAATCATGGCCCAATGCAGTGACTCATGTCTGTAATCCCAGCAGTTTGGGAGGCCGAGGCAGGAGGATCACTTGAGGTCAGAAGTTTGAGGCCAGCCTGGCCAACATGGTGAAATTCCGTCTCTACTAAAAATACAAAAATTAGCCAGTCATGATGGTAGATGCCTGTAATCCCAGCTACTCGGGAGGCTGAGGCACGAGAATGGCTTGAACCTGGGTGGTGGAGGTTGCAGTGAGAAGAGATCGCATCACTGCACTCCAACCTGAGCGACAGAGTGAGACTCAGTCTCAAAAAAAAAAAAAAAAAAGCAATCATGATGTAAAGAGCATAGCATAGTGTTTAAAAGAATAAATGCCCAGTGAAGCCTTGTTGTTAAAACCCATGGTTTTCCACACTAGGACTTGGAGGCTGCGTAGTTAAGAGGCTCCCGTGGAGCACAAGAGGAGTAATCACACCCAGCAGAGTGGTAGTGAGAAGGGTCTTTCTGCTGGAGCTTTGTACAAGAAAGAAATTCTGTACTTAACAATAACGAAATTACAATGAAGAAGCAGATAATCACTTAGTTTTACAGTATAATGTGTAGTTGTACCACATTTAAATGAAAGACAGATTATGGTAATTATAAGAGCGAAAAGCTGGATTACCAGGGGACTTCCATCTTTGGGGCTGTCAATGTCTCACTCTGGGCAGTAAGTGGGCTTTGAGATCAACATCTCCTCCTGGGGCTTGGTGAGGGGTCAAAGTGTTTAATGAAAACAATGTGCAACATCAGATTCATTAGGGTATGCTCAGAGGACTGAACCGAAGCTGGAGCACCAAGCAGGACATTTTTGTTTTTTTGTCTACCAGCCTGGGACACATTTTTCTTTAAAAAATGAATCAATTAATAACTAAAGGTAAAAATAATAAAATAATGATAAAAATGGAAGTGTTTTCCAGCTGGAATTGGATGAGCTATGTGTTCCTCAGTAGATACTTAGGGTGCATTTCCTTCTTCTAGTACAATTTCAGGCTTGATCTCCCTTTACTTTTCTTTGCTTGAGAGAAATGCCACAACCTCACCAAGCACCTAATTTATATTGCTAAAAGCAATATCGATTTTCATAACACGCTGGGACAAGTTGTGTGTGTGTGTGTGTGAATTTGTGGATTTCTAATTCCTTTCCCAAAACCTTGGGGAGAACAGAATATCCGGACTCTACCTCCACCTCCCTTACTTTCACTCATAAAGTAAGGTAGATTATATGTATACACTTGTTTTACTTTAGCTTAAGAGCCCCAAGTCTTCCAGGATTCTAAGGTCTCTCTGTCGTTGATATCCAAATAAATTAACTTGAACCTCCATTCAATATACTGGGATGTACAGTTTCTGCCCAGAGAGAGTTAATTAAGACTTAGCCCAAAGCTTATTTGATCATTTATTTTCTACTTCCCATAATCACTCAGATCTTGCCATTATGATTCTTTTTCCTTTACCTTGTCACCTTTGGCATGGCATGACATCATCAGAAGGAATATTACCGCAAATTGTATGTCTGAGGAAAGTTGGAAGGTAGGAAACATGATGAGGAATAAGTAAGAAACACCTTGAATTTGGAGAATTTTTTGATGGAGTTAACTGAACCCCCAGCAACTCAGAAAAAAAAAAAAAAAAAAAAAAAAAAAAAAAAAAACAGAAAAGAAATTCTTTTCTCTTCACTCCCAGTACACTAATATATTCCCATACATAGTTAATAGAACTATTAATTAAGCCTTTCAAGTCTGGCCAGTGTAGCTATGCAACGCCTATACATTATTCAAGGTTTTCTCTTTACTTTCAACTTACATAGTTAAGAATGATGGGGATGAGTATTAGAGTTCTTAGTAGAATTTGGAAATACAAGACATGATTCGACTCTAAAACTACAATTGAAATAGAGGAGATGTTTCAGGAGGCAGAATCTGAAACAGGTAATTATCACAAATGGGAAAAAAGAGGAGGATTAAGAACGGGTGTTATCAGTAAAATATAGTCATTTTAACAGCCTGACCCTGACTATAGGTCACCAACTCCCTAACATAAGAGATTTTAGATCCCAAGCAAAGCCTCTTAATGGCAGATAGTGGACACCCTGACGCACTGCTACGGTCTTCTTCAGATGTGGGGGATTTAGTTCCCAAGTTTGCCAGCAAACACCAGTGAAGAGCCACCTTTCTCAATCTCATGTCCCATTCTGGGATTGTTTACCTCCAATGACACCTCAGTATGAGGCTCTGAAGACCTAGACCTTTTCCCTAACTTCAGGTATAAGACCATGCCAGCTTCAAAGCTCCCTGTGGGGTTTGCTGAGGTTTTTGCTGAGTCTGCATCACATTCCAACTTCTCCCCAGCCCAGTTCTGCTTCCATTTCTTCCCTTTGCTTCCACAGGTGTTGATACCAAGAGCTCTCGCTAACAAAAGTCCTCTTATGCTGTCTTTATCTCAGGGTCTGCCTTCCCAGGAGCCCAATCTGCAACATGACAAATAATACCTAACAATGGATTCATGATGTCTACTATCCACAACTTATATCTCATTTCTTTTTAATGCATTGGACCAGAGAAACTTAAAACTCAATGAACTGTCAAGTTTCCACACTGACACTGTAGGGCTAGGAGTGTTTCCGTGTGCAATGCCTGCATCTTGTCTTCTCCAGAAATGCCTCTCATGAGAGAGCTAATATTGCAATCAGCTATTAATTGTCTCCTCTGTTGCCATTTGCTCGAGGAAGGAGGAAAGAGCAAAATGTGTGTGCTTGTGAGACAGCAGGGGTGGTAGCTAGGCAGAGGCAGGTTCAGAATGAAAGAACCACTTCTCTTGGAATATTACTGAGTCAGGACTGGAGTGAAAAAAGGCTAAAGGAAGGCAAATTATAAAAGGATTTAGAAAACGCAGTCTGATATTGTAAAAAGAATATTCTTGTACAAGTTTATACTTTCAAGATTCGGAATTGGATGACTGAAAAAGTCGTTAAGTGATTCTATTTTAATCCCATGAGAGTAAGGGAGTCCTTGCTCTACGACATGCACTCTTACTTTTTCAGGATGATTCACCCAACTAGAACCTCCTGATATCCTCTTTTTCTGTGAATGAATCCCTGATAAAATGTTGTGGCTGAAATGTGCTCTTTAAAATGCTGATATGATAGATTTATGTTTAACAATAGGCTATAGATTAGCTGTTAGGGAGTAAATAGATTATTACAACAAGATTAAAGCAACTAAGAGCGTTAGAGATAAAAGTCTCCCAAATAATTGGATAGATAAAAGAATTATCTTAAAAAAACGGAGCTACATCACACTGATATTATAAATTCAAAATGGGTAATGAAGCTCAAAGCCTCCAAAGCTTGCAGCAAGTGCTGGTGAATTGCTTGGGAAGATGCAATTAGTGTGCTCTTTTATCTTTGAGTCAATGCTCTGATTCTTCTGTAGCTTCTGCCCACAAGACTGAGCTCGCCTGATGATGCTGGGAAAGAGATGGACACTTTGCGTATGCTTCCACATGCAGCCACCACAGTGTCCGTGGAAAACAGCTCTTACAAACTTCATTACAGAGGGGGAAATGGAGGCTCAACAAGTTTAGGAAATTATTAGGGTAGCAAAACTGTGGGTAACAGAGTGGGTTTCAATTCTCAGTCCCTGTGATACAAGAAGCCATGCTCTGTAGGGTGCTACCTGCCTGGAGAAGCTCACTGCCAAGTCTGGCCATGTACTCCACTGATCGCTCTATCTTTGGCAGAGACCCTAAAGAAAAGACAAAATTAAGGGGCATGATTCTACTGGGGATGTTGTCAGAATCAAATGGAATCATTTGTGTTAAAAACTCTGACAAACAGAACCGGAAAAAGCCATGAAGGAAGGGGTCCCACGTGCAAACGGCTGATTATAAGAACTATCACAAAAGGCTCTTTGCAAAAACCACAGCTTTGCATGAAGACTGTTGCCGCCTTACACACACATGAAAATACTTCTGCGAGAACATCTGCCCAGCAACTGCTTATCCACCCTCGGACTGGCACCATCCTTCTTATTGACCCTTGTAACCAAGGATAATTATCCCAAATCAGTTGTGGACATCATGTTTCCTATCTTCCTAGTAATAAAATATATTTTACTATATTCTGTGTATTCACATTGCAATACTTATTTCCAATTAAATATTTTCTTTTAGAGAGTGTCCCTCTATGTTTTTAGGTCAATACTGCAAAGAGGTGTGTGTGTGTGTGTGTGTGTGTGTGTGTGTGTGTGTGTGTGTGTTTAATGTGTACCGAGTCTTATGCTGATAGATGATTTCTGTGAAGCTTCTAGGAGACAGCCACTGATAAGGCATTGGTTTGTCCCATCCTTCTCGTATAGGCACTGAGTGATCCAGGCAACCATCACTCCACATGCGCACGCAGGAGCACTTTACTTGAAGTCCAGAGCCCTAGAGCAGTTTCAGCCTTTTGACTTAGAAGCAGTGAGACCATGAGCACGTGGCTTGGCAGTTCTGAGTGGTGGTTGAAGAGTATAAAGTATGGAGGCAGGTTGGCTGGGCTGAAATCCAATCTCTGCCAGTCATTGACTATGTGACTTCAAACAAATGGCTTAACGTCTCAGTGCCTCAGTTCTCATCTACTAAATGGGTATAGAATTATGGCCTCATCACATAGGATTATCATGAAGAATACGTGAATTGATACAAGTAAAGCACTTAAAATGTGTGGCACATTACTGTATAATTACCAGCTTTTTAAGAGTTAGCTGTTTTTAATATTTGGGCTCTTGGTAACAATAAATGAGCTATTTCTAAGTTGTAAAAGACAGAAAATATACACATTATAGTATATAGTCAAGTTGTGCAATTAAGCTAAACATATTTAAATTGTACAAATATAAATGTAACTCTACAAATACGTCATATGTCGCTGCTAAGCCCGAGTCTTGTTTTCCTCTAGTCACTTTCTTACAGCATTTCCAGTTCTTTGCAGGTAAAACTCAGAGTTAGAGACTTCTTGCATCTCTGGGGGCCAGGGCAATGCACTAAGTTTTTGTCTGCTTCTGGGGTGCCATTGAGTGTGAATTCCTAGATAATATGGATGATATCAGGCTATCACTAAATTGGAAGTATTTTTTGGTGGGGTTGGAAATGAGAGAAGGGTTCTCTTTGTTAACTGAGTTTATTTAACTTTAGCAAATAACAAATATAGACATTGGGAATGAGTGAAACCCAGAAAGTAGGAAGTGAATAAATTCATGCAAATATTTGTACACATGTTTATTTATGCCTGCAGGAAACAAGCTAAACAAATCCAAGAGCAGCTCAAAGTGCCACAAAATGGTAAAAGCTACAGCCTCAAAGCATCCAGCACAATGGTGAAGTCAGAGAACTTGGTGAAGAGTCATGTCCAGCTGCAAAATGTAAGTGACTTGTCTACACACCTCCTTCTGCAGGCTACCTCAGTACTTCCAGTCCAGAAGTATTGGGAGCCTGAGATCAGACTTGTATATATTTTTCAGAGCTTTATAGAGTTTTACTTAAATGGTCTTACAGTTCTGGTAGGGGATATTCACACATGCATGTATGTATGCATCAGATAAAAACCAAGTTAAATTTCAGCTCTTGATTACCATCTATCATGTAAACTAATCTCTGGTAACAATAAGAACTTCAGTTTTTTTTGTCCCGTGTAGACATGTCGAATTCTTAGTTTGTGCCAGAAGTTGTACGTAACACCAAGGATACAATGTCCTTGCCATAAGAGAAGTTCCCTGTAGGAAGATTCACAGAAACCCTTAGAGCCAGCTGAAGTGACTTCTGAAGTAGTTGTTGCAGCAGAGGTCGGACAAGAAGAAGCCAGTGGGAGGTGGATGGGAGTAGACGCGGGGGCTGCCTCACAACAGAGTCAGGCTCAGGCTGGGCTTCAAAGGACATGAAAAGTTCTATGGAGAGTCAGAGGGCTAAGAGCTAGACACTAGAACATACAGGAAGAATGAAGCCATAGAATTCCAAAAATGCATGTTATGTCCAGAGATCTCCAAGTTAAGGGGTGTGAGAAGAATCGAAGGTGAGAGGTGAAATGTGGAGTTTCAGAATCAATCCAATTCCAGGCCTTGCAGAGATATCAGAACTTGAAGTGAAATGCAAACTCTTTGCCTCTTACACTTTTTGTAAGGCAGTTTTAATCATTACTGAGCTATATTGCAAAACACTAAATTAAATACAAGAGAATACTGTGTAATACATGCAGATATATTCCTCTTAGGGTAGCAATTCTTTGATCCCACACAGCATCGCACTTTTGGAATCTGAAGCATGAAACAAAAGAACAAAGGCCACTGTATAAACCTAGTATTTGAGTATAATAGGCAATCACCCAGGACACATTCACACCACTCCAAATGCTTAAACCACTGGAAATTTATATATCACTTGTGATTCTAAGAAATCACTACCCAAAAAGTCACTGTGATGTGCATAACAGATGTACTTAGATGGTTTTATGCAGAAATCATAAATCAGAGTCTCTTCCCAGTCATGTTTTGTTAAACTTTTATTCACGGCAATATGAAGGGATTGTTCTTTTCAGAAACAGAGCGAATGGTTTTGCTATTGATTTCTAATGGGTATAATCTCACCTCTCTAAAACAGCCACAGTGATAGAGGGCTTCATTCCTTAGCAACTGGTTGTGTCAAAGATAAACAAAGCCAGACAATAGTTAAAGTGATGAGGATAGATTCTAATCAGTGATATATTAGAGGAATAGTTGAACTGACCTTCAATTTGTACGAAAGTGGCTGGGCATTTTAAAAGGTGAATGAGAGAATAGGGAACGGGATGAGCAGGGGCTTGGGCAGAGCTGGAGAAGGGAAAAATTACAGAGTTGTTTTGAGTAAATATGATCAGAGCAGCTGTGTCTGTTTCCCGGCAATTGATGAAGTTAGGATTCTATCCTCCTACAGAGACTAGGAGACAGAGCCCCCATCCTTCCTGATAAGAATATTTCAAAAAACAGTGTCGGGTCCTTGAGAAAGACATCTTTGAGGTTTAGAGTCATAATCAAAATCCATATTTTTAAGCCCTTTTTAGTAAATATTCTAAGAAAGGGAGATCAGGGGACGATGGTCAGGTGTTAGCTGGAACAAACTTTACATTCTTTCAATAGCTTTCAGACTTTTATTTATCTTTTCAGGCAGACACTTTAAGGGGAACTCGGGTTGTCCTAGGGATGCAGCTTTGAGCTATTCAATCCTATTAGTGTATGTTCAAGTCTTTCAGGGTGAAATGGAAAAGTAGGTGGATGAAATCATTTGTGCTGAGAGTCTACAGTATTTTTAGGCCAAACATGAGGCTTACTCCACATGAGGACTCAGAGGAGTCTATCTCAAGTTAGGTTAAAAAGAGAGTGTTTGTCCATCTGTATGTATTTTATAGGGTTGTGTGGTGGCCAGAGCGCACACACAGTTTTGTACCCTTCTTCTTCATCTAACATGTGATCAACAGCATTTTCTGTTTGCTTTTGGAGCACCACAAAGTCATTTGTGATAACAGCATAGTGGTCTACGAAGTGATCACTTTACAGTTTTCTCATTCACACCCCTCCTCGTAGACTTTCAGGTTCTTTCCTGTTGTTTAGTGTTATCAGAAATGTAAAAATAAACTCTTCACGTGTGCTCCTCCCACCCCTCATTTGATTAGAATTATAAGGATTGGAATTAAAGAAAAAAAATGACTAAGCCTCCACAGGGCTTCCAGCTCTTGCAAGACCTTGGGTACATATGACTTTATTTCTTTTTACTCTCTCTCTCCCTTCCTCACCAGTCCACCCTTCTCCAGCATTTTGTAAGTTGGCACAGAGCAGTAAGGGATGGTCTCAACCGGATCGTTCTCTTAGGTCCCAAGAGAGGGTACAGGGATGTGTCTTTTTGCATTCATCCCATTTTTGTATAAGAAGAGTATAGGGGAGGAAACCTTTTTTTTTTTCTTACTTTTCTAGGTTCTCAGGTAGAACTCTAGCAAAAGACAGACTAACAAGAGAAAAACAAACAGAAGTTTATTAACATGTGAATCATGCATATAAAACATGGGACTACCCAGAAATGAGTAACTCAAAGGCATATTTAGAATTTAGGCTTGTATACCCTGTTAGACTAAAATAAAGATTTTGGGTTTGGGGGCGAAGAAGGCAAGTTATGGGAAGGTGACCGAGAAAAAAGCAGGATAAACAAGAGTTGTTTAGTAAAATTTGTTATTTGCCTTTTTTATTGATAAAAGTTTCTAAGTGTACTTCCTGACACAGGAGTGGGAGACATTTATACAAACAGAAATTTCCTTCTAAAGGAAAACTTGTGCCCTTTCTGCGGGGCTTTTCGTGCATGTGCAGGTTCCCAATGGCCTTTAGCTTAAAATAATCCATGTGCCAAAGAGACATAATATGGGGTGGCATAGACTGGTACACCTCAAGAGTATATAGAAGACATCTTATTTCTGAGGTGTCTTGTGATTTGCTAAGATTACACATTTCAAAGAATTATTAGTTTAAACAGCTAAGGAGAAGTTGGGAGTCCAGGCAGCGAGTAGATAAAAGAGGAAGGCATTTAAGGACCCTGAAAAAGGAGAGCAGGGTACATTGAAGAGACATATGCATTCGATCACAGTATTCTCCATATTGCTAGCTTGAGCAGTTCCCTTTAATAAGACTGCAGTGGAATGAACAAATTGTTTTACCAAAGGCATATATCAATTTCAACATAGAAGGCAGTGCGGTTCACTCTCTTTTGTTATACCTTTGTCACCATTTGCTTTTATTAATTAGTAGGAAATGGCATTTAAAAAGTTTTTCACTTCTTTATTTGAGATTGAAATACAATCTCTGTCCACCTATTTCGAGTTAAAGTTCATCTTTGGTAAATTACATGTTGATACCCTTTGCTCATAATTTTATTATAGGAAGCAAATATCAATTTGACTATAATTTTCCATACTACATGTTTCAGGAAAAAGTAGGGATGGAGAATACATATCAATAATCCATTAAAAGTCTGGGCGTGGTGGCTCATGCCTGTAATCCCTGCACTTTGGAAGGACGAGGCAGGAAGATCACATGAGGTCTGGAGTTCGTAACCAGCCTGGCCAACATGCAGAAATCCTGTCTCTGCTAAAAATACAACAATTAGCTAGACATGGTGGTACACACCTATGATCCCAGCTACTTGGGAGGCTGAGGTGGGAGACTCACGTGAACCTGGGAGGTGGGGGTTGCAATGAGTCAAGATGGTGCCACTGCACTTCAGCCTGGGCAACTCCATCTCAAAATAGTAACAATGTTAATAATCCATTAAAAGGGAACTGAAAATTCTAATAACATTTGTTTTCATTCTAATGCTATCCTTAATATACATAAAGAGAAGAAGGTAGGGCATCTGTGCAGTTGGAGGCCAGATAGCACAGGTAGTTTTAGGGAAAGTAGTAATCTGATGTGTGGTTAAGAACTTCACAATGCAGGCCAGGCACAGTGGCTCACACCTGTTATCCTGGTGCTTTGGGAAGCCAAGGCAGGAGAGTCACTAGAGCACAGGAGTTTAAGCTTGCGGGGGTCTGTGACTGCTTCACTGCACTCCAGGTTGAGCAACAGAGAAGACCCTATCTCAGAAATAAATAAATAATTATATAAATAAGAATTTCTGGATGCATATAAAGTACAAATGAATCAAAGAAAATTTGGGAAACATTTTTTCTTTGTAGATCTATATTTTTTTCTTCTAGTTAGAACTGTGAGGAAATACCAGTGTCAATAACATAAAAAAGAAAAATGAAGTAGTAATAATAGTCACGGCAAATAACATGTAGTAGACGCACACATAGCACCTTGCTACATAATATAAATGCATTGTCTCATTTAGTCCTAACAACAACTGATTTATACCCACCCTGTGCAGAAAACAGAAATGGGGTTCGGAGCTTGAGAAAGTTGTCTGTCAGACAGCCAGTAAGTAGCTGAAAGACAAATCCGCAGCCTTACAACTCAGTGGTTCTCAGCAGCAGGCAATTTGCCCACCATCCCTTGACATTTGGCAAAGTCTGAAAAAACTTTGGCTATTACACACTGAGAGAAGAATGCTGCGGTCATCTAGTGGGTAGTGGTCACTGGTGCTGATGAACATCTTTCAATGCACAATAACCTCCCTCAATAGAAGATTATCCTTCCCAAAATATCAAAAGTGGCAAGGAAGTTCACAGTTGGTGCTCAAGTTCCAAATGGGTCCATTGAGAAATTCTGAACACCAAGTTCCATTACCAAGATTCCCACGGCAGGCATTTATTTCCACTACACAGAGGATGACAGGTTATTCAGGCATACTTCATCCTTGGAAGGGAAAATTTCCTACTTGCTTACCATATCAGGCAAATCTATTTTTG